AATTTTTCGTCAAATCACCATGTGATTCCTGACGTCCAATTCGGTTTTCGGTCCGAGCATAGCACCGAGCTACAGGCAGTCAGGCTGGTGGAGCATGTAACCAGAGGGTTCACCCTTAGCATGAGTACTGGCATCTTGCTTTTGGATGTCTCAAAAGCCTTTGACAAGGTGTGGCACGCGGGCCTTCTCTATAAACTAATCCAAAAGGGTTTTCCTTTTTGGCTTCTAAAATTACTGAAATCCTTTCTTGAAGGAAGGAAGTTTCGGATCAAAATTAACAATGTTTTGTCAACAACACGGCCAGTACGGGCCGGTGTTCCTCAGGGTTCGGTCCTAGGACCAATTCTTTATTCGCTTTTCATCCATGATGTCCCTTCCCCCAGCAACTGTGAAGTCTACCTCTATGCTGACGACACTGCACTTGTCGCCCAGTCGTGTACTGGTGATCTGGTTCACGATGGGTTGCAGAATGCGGTGGACGAAGTTCTAGAGTGGGCGGAACGGTGGCTGATAAAAATTAATCATTCGAAAACGCAGGCTATTTATTGTACCAAAAAACGTTGCGGCCCCCCAGCAGAGGTTTCTGTAGACGGAAATCGTGTACCATGGACAAATTCTGCCAAGTATCTCGGTGTCACCCTTGATAAAGGCATGACCTGGCAGAAACATACAGCATCCATAAAAACAAAATTCCAAATTGCGTTTCGGCAACTATATCCTTTGTTATGTAGATCCTCCAAATTGAGTTTGATAAACAAAGTTCGACTATATAAAATGATTATTAGACCAGCCATTACTTATGCATGTGCGGCTTGGTGTTTTCTTGCCAAGACACACATGCAAAGTACTTCAAGTACTGCAAAGCAGAACTTTGCGGACAATTTCCAACGCTCCATGGTATGTCTCAAATGAGACACTACACAGAGACCTTGACATTCCTTACTTGAGGGATTATGTCAAGCTTCAGGCGCAGCGACGTTATAGTCAAGCGGAATCGTACAGCAACCCTCTGTTGCGTGACTCAGTGGACTACACAGTGGAGCAAGTTCGTAAACATTCAAGGCCACGGCTCGCACTGTAATCAAAAGTTAGCGTGAATCTTTAGTAAACTCAAAATTATACTCTAACAGAACCAAATCAAAAATTTGTTTAGTTCACCTCAAAATTAATCCGTGTACCAAGTCAAAAAGCTTAGGTGTTTCCTCTTAAACTAAGCATATCTGTTTTTCTTTGTTCTTCTCCTTTTTTCTTCTCTTTTTCCTTGACTTTGTCTGGTTTCTGGGCAACCAGGTCTGACAGATTCGACTAACGTACATCAGACAGTGACTAATGGGCAAAGTCCTACGGACCGCCCAGACAAATAAATGACGAATAGTAACAACCAAATAAAGATGACAATGAGTGACAGATGAGGTGATAAAGTAGTGTGGTTGAGCCGGGAAGACTAGAGATAGGAATAGGACCACAAAACATAAGACTGAAGAAGTGGGAGCTGCTCGTGAAACAATGACAACCCCGTTGACGTTTGCCAGATGGATGCGCCGCCTACTTGCCTGGAGATCTGGAGGAACTATCGAAAGGATTTACAGAATGCGCCGGGAGATTAGCAATGTCCCGTTTGTTTACAATTTAAAATCTACTGAAAGTGATATTTCCCATATTGAAGAAATATTTTATGAGCATAGATGCATAAAATATCTTCAATAAAGGAAATACCTGTTTCAGCAGTTTTGCTGGTAACCAATTTTGAGATAATAAAACATGCGTAATTAATAAAATATTGATTAAATAGTTAAATATATAAATAATAATAATAAGTAACAATTTATCATCACAGTACATTGACAATATATAAAGGCATTTTTAGACATCCGGAGCTTTCTCTATACTATTAAGTGAATAAGTGATGTTTCAAAAAAATACAAATCATGCATTAGTAGCATAAAAAACGATAAAAAGGGACCATCAGTAATCAAAGGAAGCGATTAGCAAGATGATGCAAGCACTACCTATTGTTAATCCATCATGAGGTATATTTATCACAAAAACGTAAACATTCATACTGAAACAACAAAAAATAAATCTTTGTAGTTAAATAAATAACTGAAATAAAAATCTAATATGAGAAAATAATTTGCACCCACGGCTATAGTGTAAAATGAGGAAAATTCCCTCAAAGAATTAATCCAAGTTGAAAATAAACAAGACATTCCTTATACTTAAGGCCAAACGCTCCTGATGTCTTTGACATTACAGTTAGTAACAAAATAAATAATTATTCTTGGTCCAACTACTCTCTCCCAAGGATGTTGCAACCATTATACAAAAAAATTGTTTAGGTATGATATCACAGTAGTATTTGGTTAATGAAAGTAAATAGAAAATGCAATGAATGAAGAGCTGGACTACATAAAAACATATTACATGACTTTAGCTGTCTTGAATTTCCTATTTGTTGATATATGACCTTTAGTAGTTATAATTTCTCATTACGTAGGACGTAATAACTCGTGGAATGAGGGTGATTCTAAAATTGTGGACGCAGGAAATGAAATTTCAAGTGTTTTGTATCGTTTCTGGGGTCATACAGCTGAGCTACTCATTTCGAAATAGTGGGGATAACGAAAATGACAATGTGTCAAAATTGTTAGGTTATGATTTTTCTTCGTTTTTGTTTCTTTTATCAAACTCACATTAAACCATACCAGAGAATGGAGGATGGTAAAGAACTGATACTGTAATGACCCAGACTCACAACGTACATTTGAGATGTTCCTGACTAATACAGAGAGTGCAAGAATGCAGGTTCATAGTGGCTTCATCTATTATAACTAGACGTTTTGAGCATATATTTGGATGTCTACACAAAAATATGAATTAGACACTTTTATCCAGAACCTTTACAATAAAAATGCAGATCTCTGACATGTTGCGCCTTGCGCCATCATTCTAGAAGAATCATCAGGCAACAGTTGTATAGTCTGACAATGCTTCTGAAAATAAAGGCAACATGTTTTTACATCATCATTGTTTGGCAGTGTGATACAAATTGTGACCGTCAAAGCAAAACATCAAAAAACATGTTCGGGTTCCCAGGCACATTTGCTAGGACAGTTCCGGAGCGGGCAAGCTCCGGGTTGATACGCATACAACTGTTACGACCGACATTACAAAGGAACGACAGCTTTGCAAGATCGAATAAAGCAAAGAAACGTAAATTGACTACATTCATATGAGGCAGCAACGTTTACTTAGCTGTAGATAAATAAATGCTTATTTGTACGTATTCAGAATTTAGTATTTTAATTTTCGTTATTCCAATTTTTGATAGTTTTGTTTTCTAATTTCTGTTATTTATGTTATTATTTAGTGCTGTTATTTGTTTGTTTTAAGAGTTTTTATTAAGTTTTCGTTAATCTTTGTTATGTTTTTTCTGTTGTTTATTTTATTTTGATTTTATGTTTTTCTTATCATTTATCCTACACTTCTTCCTCCTCATCTTCCTTATTCCTTTCCTGGCAAGAGCTTACCTCAGACCTCCTCGTTGGTTGTTGCTGGACACAACTGTGCACTACATGTTTGATGTAATTTTCAAGTACCAGTATATTACGTCTATAATAATAGTAAATTCTCCACATATTCATGTATGTCATGTTATGTATGTCATTCAAGAATTTATCATCTTAGCAAGTTTCTATAACATCAAGTTATTACTCAAATGTGCAGGTAATGTAGGATGGAATATCAGTGAATATCAGGGTGAAAATAATAGTTAATAACTACTTTAATATTTCCACCAAGTTGCCTTCATATACCAAAAACACTTTTCTGAATTGTCCGTCGTTTACATCAGGTAGAATATGTTAAATATGCTGCAATAATAATATATTATTCACTAGCGCTAATGTACGCCACGCCCTGCTGTCGGCCTGCCGCCCTACTCGTCACGCGTTTGTTGTCAGGCCTTGCTCTGTCGGTGGTATGGTGGTAACGATCAGTGCTGCCAGAGCCAACATTAAAAATTCCGCTACTGGTATCGAAAAACTCCGCTACCCCGGGGATTATCGTCGGTTGGCGCATTATCATAAAGCATTTATTATAGAGGTTGTGTCAAAAAAGGAAAACAAAAACCAAACAGCGTGATAAAATATAACATAAAACTGTAGTAAAAAAACATTTGACTATAAAAACCAATACAATATTACAAATAACTGTCAAACAACTGAATATTTATCACGCAGTCATATTAAAAAAATATCACAGGAATCTAAAAAATGAAAAGCATATGACTAAAGGCCATTTCTGTTTTGCATAAAAAAATTGAAGTTTTTGAGTTACTTAAACTTAGTCACTGTCTGTATCAGATTCTTCTTGATGCATTTCTGTTCTCTCTATACTATATAAATTATTTTTGTATTTTTTAAAAAGTTTTTCACCAAACTCGAAGTGTAAGCAGCAAAATTTTTTTTGTATTGTATCCAGCTTGATAAGTATCGCGAACAAACTCTAAGGTAAAATACGAATCATTTTCTTTGTTTTGATTATCTCCATATATGAGAATGTTCACTCAACGTCTGCATTACCATGTGGCCAATTAATGTTAAAATTATTGGACATACTTTGGAAATACACTGCACAGGTTGTGCTCTTACCACCTACTACCATCTATACTCGTCTCCGTTGAATAAGAATTACCGATCGGTGGTTAGCACTGTCGATTGGAAAGATACCTGTATTTAGATTTGGTTCCTAACTGCACTCATTTTTTTTCTGGTAATAATATCCATCATGTGTACCTAAGTTGCAAAATTCCGCTACTTTTAATAAAAAATCCAATTCCGCCGCTACCACTTGAAAATTCCGCTACTTCTGGCAACGATACAACCACAAAACATATACAACTCTCAATTCAAAAGCACTGTCGCTATGCTGTCGTCTCTGTCATTAGCCAAGGAAGATTTTCTTATTTTACATGAATGTGCTTGACATTAACGTGTTGACGTTTCCAGTGTATATGTTTTGTGGTTATTTTGTGGGAGGTGGGCAGGTGGGAGGTTGTTTTGTTGTTTGTCAATGTCCGATGTTATGGAAAGTGAGGAAAGACCAAAATAATTATAAAAAACAAGCTGTCTAAAAACTGTTATAATTGTTTAGTTCTTTTCATATGGTTTGATACATTTAGTATATCGACGTCAAGTGAGTATTCTTTGCACATCGTTATCCATGGGTACTGCTTTGCTAGGCAAAGTACTTCAACGGTGTTTGAAAAAGGCGCTAAACGATATTCGCATTTTTTTCAGGATGGCTGAAGAAGAATTCCGAAGCTCTCTTACACATGTTTTAGAGCAGCTTTCCGACTTTGGGAATGCTATACAGGCCAAGAGCAGTAGACTTATGCGTGAAAATGAAAATAATACTGAGTTAGACATGAATAGTATGCAAGCTATTGCTCTCAGTTTAGTAAAAATGCTGCGAAAAATCAAAGGCAATAACTTTGCACTACTCACTGTTGTTGAGAGCTATATTGAACAGCTAAATGCAAGTCACCAATCTGACCTTTTCCAAGAAGTTATTAAAAAGATCCATGAATGCAAAACATGTACAGTCATAGTAGAAAATGGTAGAACACAATTTTCTCAACCAGTTGATAAGGCAGTGATGGTTAATCTAGGTAGAAATGGTAGACCCGCCAATCTTTCTGATGAAGCAATGCTTAATCTTGATACTAGCCATAATCAGCATGCTGATAAGGAAATAATTATTGATCTGGATGAAATAGAAGCTGAAAGGTATAGATAATTTTAAACATAAATAACTGAGCCATATATGAAAATCATGTTTTCAAATAGTTTTTAGTATACATTTTTATGATATGGATATTGCTGAAAATTTACTATGAGTAATTCAAAATGCTGTTACAAATAAAACAGATTTTGGATATATCACTTTGCTTTTAATAGTTGATAGTTGTAGAAGATTATAAATCAATTAGGTACACATTGCATATAGGCTTACTCATCAGGTTAAAAGTTTTGATAAACATTTGATGAAAATCAAAGGTGCTTGCTATCTTCTACAAAAACATTTTTGTGTTTAATAAAACTTTGCTCTATTTTCAATATGTAATTTCCTTAATGTAATGTTGAGCTAGAATTTGGTCCAAAATTATTATTATTTTGAAATGCCAATAAAGATTCATCAATCATATCTCTATGATAAATTAAGGAATAAGTAGTTAGATATGTATATGCTCTTATGACTCCTCTACACATTAAATTTGGTCAACATACACCAGTAACAATATTATGCATATTGCATAGGCAGGGCCAATTAGCTTTGACTGAGTGTGACGGCATTGTTAGTGGGCAACAGAATAGACAGGTAACTCATTATATGATATGATATGAGGTTGTATTATTATGTGTTGTGACAGTAGCAGTGGGGTAGTGAAGCCTGTAAACTATACCCTATTTCACAAGTATCCTTCATGGTAGAATGACAGCTGATTAGTAAAATCTCAAAATTCCTCATTATAATCAAATTCAAGCGGATAACCAAATGGAAATGGTATTTACCATTTTGGATTGGTATTTACCGATCTGTTCAAGCGAGTGTGGTTATCAGTTTGGTTATAAGATCCGTGACGTCATGAATCAGCTGTTATATGTCATAGTTATCACCGCAAAATTGTGGTATTTACCCAACTCCGGAGTAGTTTTATTTTTCTGGTTATTATTTGACATGTGACAAGTTAGAATTTTGCCGGGTATTGGATATTTTTATTGTACTTCAGCTTCATTTTTGGGAAACTTGATACAGGCTGACTTCAGTTTTAGCATAAGAGAGCACCTTATTATTTATAATCATCACTGTTGTTGGGGACACTTTAAATCTAGTTCCTACACTTAAAAAAGTATCCTGTATAGCCATATACCACAAGAATATTAAAATATGGCCGTATAAACTCGCTGGATGATGTCCACCTGTATACGGTTTTGTTAATATTTTTTTTCATCGCTTTTTCATCATTTCTGCTAAATCAATAAATATTTTCTTTGACATGCGGAAAAGTTTAGATAATTGAAAGTTATCATAGCTACAAAGCCATGGTTCCATCAGTAAAAATTTTTTTCGGAAAAAAAAACATTCCTCCCATTAATATTATGAAAGTTTTCTTTTTTTCAACTTTCCATACCCCGTTGTAGACGAAAAAGCACCGATTATTAAGTGATAATAAAAATAATCAGAAATTATATACGCGCTTTTCTAAAAAAAAAAAAACTTGCAACAAACCGCGGTTAAAACCGACGCGTTCAAGCGATTCGAGTAACTGACGTCACCATCCCGTGTGTCATCTTGAACCATATTATAACCGCGGTACATAATACGGAAATTTTGCTTATCCGCTTGGATTTGATTATTGGCACATGACATGTACTTGCTACCAGCTGTTTAATTTAGAAAAGTTCATTTGCATACAAAAACAAAATGCCACAAACAGGTTTTACTAGATTTATACCCAATTCATTATTGCCAACATGCAGAGTAACACAAAAATGTCACTTGCATCTTTTGACCCTTTTGCTTGTTGCTTGTCTACTTATACCATGTAATGGATTATTGAATGAATCAGCTCCACACTTCATATCTGCTGCTTTGTTCTTTGAGAAAATGTATTATACCATCAGTGAAAATGTAACACCACACAAGATAAAATTTACGAATTGCCAGAAAAACAGGATCACTTCAAATGTTGACTAAGACTCATAGGATGAGCCTAGAAATGTATTTGCATGATTAACATATTGCAAATTTCAAGTAAGGGTGGCGTTTGAACTGTTAACTGACTTATACAAGTAAGATTTGCGGAATTTGGTTGCTGTAAAACAGTAGCTAGCAGTCTTAGAATGAATTGGATGGTAGCAGAAGTACAGTACAAAATAATCGAATTAATGCCAAAATCGGTATTATTTGTGTGAAACATGTCATAAAATGATCACGTTATTTTATCTTCCCGCATGAAGTTCCATCAAAAATCACCTTCATTGTATCATTTAAGTAATATTAATTCTTAATAACACGTTAATTACCGTAATTGCTAGCTGACGTTATCAATATTACCGATTTATATTTTTTTACACTGAAACAGCCGCGCAGGCAGAAGCCTAAATTTCAGGGCACCACGATTGCTATGAGGAGCTTAAAGAAACCTTGTTAATCCGATTTCATTTCTGGTTGATAATAATAATAATAATAATTTATTCATCCTGTGGATCACAAAGTGATATAGGATAAGTCAATTGAATATTTGTATAAACAGAATTGCCTACATACATAAATAACATTCAAAACATCAAATAAAAACACGAAGTGTATAAACATGAAAACGAATTAAAATATAAATTAAAATAATTAAAAAAGACTATCACTCATTAAAAACTCTTCTATAGAGTAGAAAGTAAAATTTGCCTGATTCTTTTTTAAATAATATCAGCGGTAGTGATTTACAATCAATGGGTAGTTTGTTCAGGTGAGTTTTGACGTAAATCAATATATTCAATATATATACTGAAGGCAGCGTCATAATCTTCAAATCTGTGAATAGTTCCCTGCAACTAAAGCGCCTTCCCACCTTTGCAATAGTTCTAATAGCTCTTTTTTGTAATATAAGAAGCCTTTGTAACTTGGAGGATGCTCCCCATGCTTCTATTCCATAAGTAAGAGATGTATGAAGTTTGACATGTGTTAGGAAGGGAGGCCGAAGTCAAGCGGGTTTATCTGGCAATAGAAGAGAGCTAGAAAAGTACTTTTTAGCCCTAAAAAATAGCCTAGCTTTTTCCTAGCAGCTGCCGCCATTGACGAGACGTGCTCGTGACAGATCAAGTCGTCGGTAATCTTGACTACGACAAGCCGATATGAACGTCTCTTTGGTAGAACTCGGCCAACCTTCACAACATTGTGGTCTGAGTTACTCCGGGGAGTCAGACAACAGTGCTGTAAGGGACAGGATGGGTGGTCAGAAAGAGACTCAGTTGGCTACTAGTGTGTGACGAAACGCGGGGGGAAAAAGTAAGCCTTGACACCAGCTGAGTTAGTCCTTGGGTAATAGCGAACGCTTCAACAGCATGGCCTGCTGCATCGGTCTTGTTTGAGACCAATCAGAGCTCATTATAGGCATTGAAATCACCGACGAGAACTACCTCTAATGCAGGGTTGATGTTCATGAAGTCGATCGAGACAGCGAGGTATTCAAGTAGGTTATGGCCCGAGGCATTTTTTTTTTGTTGTGAAGGGAAAGGGAACATAGCCGACTGTGTAGCTGAGGTATGGAGGACATGCAGAGATTCTTAAGACAGCCTGGAAAAAACTGGCGTCGGCTGGTCCTTGTCTAACATTTTCTTTTTGCTTGTTAATGATGTTAAATATACCTAAAGTGGACCATTGGCGAACTTGTCATAAGTTCTCGTAATCCCCTGGTGTGCTGAATATAAGTTTTCCACCTGCCAACTGTAGTGAAGCGGCTATACATATTTGGTCGCTATAGCATACCATGTTATGTTGGCGCCAGCGTTGATTTCCAATACAGTCAGTGGCCCAATGTGTAAGGGAGCCATTACAGTTAATTCAATTCAATAAGTGCATAGTTTTAATGCCATCTTTATTTACAGTGACTCAAGGAGTGTTGATGCCAAAATATTTAATATGTCTTTGAGAAAAAAAGGAGGTAGTTGTGACACTGAAGATACTGATGATGCTTGGCAGGATACACTCAGCAGGAATAGTGTGAAAAAGGAAATAAAATCGGAGGATGTATCTCCTACTAACCTCGGTTCTAATTCCCTTAATATAGGTCGGTCAGCATTTACTTATCCATATTGAATATAAAAAATACAAATGGAAAAAACACTAGGAGTAGTACTTAAAATGTTTCTCAAACCTATTTTATTTTTTCAGAACCTGAAGTGGTGCAATATTCTGAGGAAGCTGACAAAGGTACTGTTCTTCTTATAATATATCCCATAACGTAATTCAAAACCTATTTCAAACTTAGGAAACATTATTTCTAGCTTAGCTGAGATGAATTCTATTGTGACAAGTTTATGATGAGTTAGATAATTTTAAACCAAACTATACAGGGTGATCCGTGAGCAAATGGTCATAGTGGAATTGTAGTAGTTAGTATCGACTTTTTTGCCATGCCAAATCTTTTATATATTCGCGAAATTCCGCATACTGACAAAGTTAGAACTCATCATCTGACCACTAAATTGAACCAAATTATGTTTTAATTACGGTTTACTAAACGACGTTTCGGCCAGCGCGTCCTTTTTCAAGTGAAATGACAATGACTATAGTGTTTATCTGTCTTCCAGGGTGACAATTATTTTATGTTTTCTTTTCTCCATCATCATACAGTAGGTTGCGACATCCATTGTTACAATTTTAAGATGACACCGCGTAAAACCAGAAAAGCCCAGTATCGTTTGGGGTAGACTTTCTCGCTCTCAAAGGACGTCCAGCCCCACAAAGTGACAAGCGAACATGAGGTTCATATGTCATTTTTAATCTACCAGAAACGTCACCCTCGCTCATCCTCCCGGCACCGCTAAACGCTCTCTGCGAAGGTGAAAACTCCCAGATTTGTTGCCGCAACATACCGGTAGACTGTGATGCAATCTTCGGCTGGTAATGTTGCTTATATGCATTTTGTTCATGGATTTGAACTGCAAGAAAAAGTACTTAGACATCCAACGGAAACCATGTTGTTTATTCTGTGAGGGAATAATACTTAAAAGTTTGGAGTTTCCTATTGAAGGCATGTAGGTCAACCAACAATAAATAAGTTTTCCTAGTAGCACATACAGCAAAGCCGAGATATGCAGTTCTGAGAAACTCCGGGTGGGCGAGTACGGCCCTGCATCCTCCGTCGCGAGGTACGATGTATTTGTGGTTGCACATTGAGAGCCGTTTTACGCACAAGAGAATTACCCCGAAAATTATGGTCATAATTATGCCGAAAATTTACATGGAAAAAATATTGAAGATTTTCTCTACAACTTGTATGACAGAAGCAGACAAAATTTCGGAGTAATTCATATGATACGCCTGCGCATTAGAGTAATATTTTCGAATGGACATAACCTTAACGTGTATGACGTCCAATATAATCGGAAAGACAACAGACGTCGTTGGTTAAAATTTATTTCTGAAATCGAGATCATGGTTAATATTATAAAACTTCTCAATGCTTGGACTATCGCATCCAACGCCTGACGCCGCAAATTTCTGTTTTTGTAATTGGGTGACTTCACCTTGTACAGGTTTGGCCATTTTTGGTACTCCTCCAACAATAGTGTAACTTCTTCCCGATTCCACGACATTATGAATTTATGAATAAACAATCAATAAACGCTTCTTCGTACGACTAGAAAAGGACCACACCCACAAATTAAGTTAGTTAAGTGAGGTTATGTTGTTGATGTTGACATTTGATATTGACATGCACGGAAATAACCCTCTGCGCCGATGCTCGCGCATATTCTATAGAACGGGTTTTATATTTTTACCATGAAAATTTTCACAAGAATTGTTTTACGTGTAATACGACAGCAAAAATTTTCGGCATAATTTTCGGAGTAATTCTCTTGTGTGTAAAATGGCTCTAAGGCATAATTTTTCGGCCGCGTACGCCCGATTCCTCCGATCGTTTTAATTTCTTAGTATTCTATTGACAGTACATCCGATTTCGACCCACAAGTACGGTCCAATTTTTCGGACATCTGACGAAATCAAAATAATTTCTTTTTTTTCTGAAGCTTCGGTGCATTTTGATGCGAATAATTTCATAAAAATACTTGACTGTGAAATTTTAATTACCCTAGTTTTTGAAAAAAAGAGTTTGTGGGATATAAGTAATAAAAACTACCACAATAGAGACATAACACCTAAACTGTGGAATCAAATTGCCTCAGAAATGAAAACTACAAGTATTCGATATTATATTCTTGATATAAACAGTTTTTCATGAATAATATACTTAAGGCGGTACTCGTTTCAGCAGATAAAAGCATTTGTAAGTTCATTTTGCTACAAACGCAAAATAAAAGCTAACTATCGATTAGAGAGAACTATAGCAAAATCTTTCAAATGTTTTCCCCGAAAATGGAGCCATACAGAGCATCTTCTTCGGCCGAAACATTCGCCCGTAAACGACAGACAAATCATTCCGCCGAAAACGGTGCCACTCTGACCGCAGCCTTATGTGTATATCCGAATCAGGCGCGTAGTATGTTGACCTAGCTTATCGGATTAGAGTAACCGAAATTGTCTCCTTCCTACAGCAATAATAAATTTAGAGATTCTACTGATACTGCTCGAGCGTACTCAGGCCATTGGGATGTCTCCATGTAGAGCTGGGTAGGTTTGTTTACATCAGGCAAAAGGTGGATACAGTGGAAGATCTAGTCATCCCCAAACGTTTCAAATTTGGAAAGAAGTCAACAAACTTGTGTTTTTGATCGGATAGCGACAAGTTTAACGACCAAAACAAGTTACAGGGCAGTACTTGAAGTTCCTGATCAATTTAGTTCTTAACCTCAATTTCCCTTTTACGTTTTTGCTGTTGTTTTACTACACATACTATTTCAAACGTAGTTGCTTCTGAAAAGAAAATTACCAACTTTCAGGACAAAATGCTTATGGAGTTTATTTCAAAATGTTATATTAATTGATACAGGACTGAATGAAGATACTCTTACCATACGAAAATTGTTTTTATAAATTTGCTCAGTAAATATACATTCTGGTTTCAGTTTCGTGTGTTCTGACAAACTATTATCATTTTTCGGGAGGACTTATAGTATTTTGAGCATTGACCATTATAAAATATTGTTACTGTTGAGTTGGATGTTGGAAAATTTCGATAAAAATTGTTTACTGCTTTTTATATATAATTCTGTTTTGTATGCTAATGGGTTTATAATAATAATAATAATTTATTTGGTATCCATTATTACAACTGCATGAGCGTGTACCATAAAATACTCGAATAAATATAGTACTCACAGGAAGGATCATACATTCCTTGAGCATGAGTGGTAATTACTGACTACTAAGGAATACATAACATATATATATTATTATTATTATATATAAAAGATAATATTGTACGGTAACTGAAATTAATAAAATATGAATAGACAAAAAAAGTATGCTAAATAAGGAAAGCCTAAGCTCTAATTATTATTAAGCAAGTATTTACTTTGCTACGTTGGTGAGTTAATTGAACTTTTTTTTGGTCTTAATGGAATATTAGGTTTATGTATTTCAGGAAGTCCATAAAAATGTGGTGGTTTGCTATAGTGACCAGTAAGGGATGTTCTTTTTTGACTGGGTAACTTGGCTTTATATTTAAAAAGTGATTTGTATACCTACTTTTCTATGCTGTTTGTTCGATCTGCATTGAGTCTAGTATAATTTAGTGGCTAGACCAGGGATGGCGAACCAAAGACACGCGTGCCATTGATGGCACGCAACACAATATTTTGGGCAGGTCACGAGTCACTAAATCATTTTGCGTTAAGAGAAAAAGTCTAAAGTAGGTAGGTATTTATTTTATGACGAGCGAACTCAAGTAGGTAGAGGTGTTTTAAAACGTCGTGAGCCGTGACCGTTACACTATGTGTATGCGCAGAAGACAAAATTTAGAGCCGCAGGAAGAATATTATCCTAATCACAAATATCGACTTTTCCGACGCACCAAATCTGGCATTCTGCTTAGAACATCCGAGAGAGATCTATCGGTACTCATTGGCGTGCGACTGTAGATTACGATTTTGTTAAAAAATATATGAACGATTTAGGTATTCACGAGACACCAGACAAAGAAAGAGTTACTGAAGAATTTATTTCTTTGATTGATTATTTAATCAAGGAACTTTCAGCGAGATTTACGCAGTTCAAGGAATTATCGGAAATAATCAAGTTTATGTACCCTGACGTGACGTCATTTAATAAATTGAACTTGTCCCAGTTCGATTGGTTGGAAATCGAAGAATTCGAAATGCAGCTGATTGATTTCCAGTTAAGTTCAGTATGGATTCAAAAATTTATTGAAACAAGGATAAAGTTAGAAGTGATAGAAACGAAAAGATTGACAAGTAATATAAGTGAAAATGCTAATAACAAAATTTTTGAAACGTCGAATGCATTAACGGACACATTTAACTGTTTGAAGAAGCTGGCTCATGATACATTAACGATATTTTCGTCTACATCTGCTTGCGACTCATTATTCTCAGAAATGAACAATATGAAAGACTCGGTTAGAAACCGTTTAACAGACGAATGCAGTTCAGCATGCATTCTGCTAAAAGTAACATCTTACAATCCTGATATAAATTATTTATCATCTAATCTGCAACAACAGAAGTCACACTAATTTTACTTTAACTGAAATTACGAATTTAATTGAAACATTGCAAAATGTACATTTTTTGTAGCAAATAAAGAATTGATAATATTTATTATTATTATTTTCCCAGAAATTACGAATTTAATTGAAACATTGCAAAATGTACCTTTTTGTTGCAAATAAAGGGTTGATAATATTTATTATTATTATTATTTTCCCAAGTCAAAATTATTAGATGGCACGTCTATGACCTCATTAAACATTTCCAAAATGGCACGTTGATGCATAAAGGTTCGCCTACCCTGGGCTAGACAATAGAGTTCTATCAACATAAACATCACAGGATAAGATTCATGTGTTACATCAAACATAGGCACGGACTCTGAATTTTACTTTGCTTTTGAAATTTAGAGGATCATTACACTCTGTATTCCATATATATACGAGGTTCATAGGTGTTTGCAGAAACATCAGAACTGTCTTCAAAATAACTGAGACACTAAGATCCTTAGAATACCACACAAATGAAAACATGATCACAAAAAAATCAATATATAAAATAGACTGTGTGTTAATGCTAAATTGGTGAAACATCAAGACCTGTAAAATATAGAATCAAAGACTTAGGTATATAACAAAGGGAGTCACGTCAAAATCGGCTCTAAGCGAGCATATATTCTAACCAGGGCATAGGGTTGAATGGGGGGTAGTCTCAATATTGCATAAAGAAGATGAAAATTACAGAAGAAATATAAAGGAATCAGCCTGTATAAAATTAAATAACAATTGTCTTTCTAGTTCCTCGGTGGACTGTGACCCAATTTGGTTGAGTATCCTTGAATGAAAGATCTAAATTATATCTTCCAAACCAACTGATGCACCATAAGCTTATTGGTACTTCCGGCTTTTTCCCGCTTTGGGAGGCTGGGCGACCTTACGAAGGGGAACGGGACTGCCTACACCAGGCAATTCTGGACATTCCTGGTTTTACGCGGTGCCAACTTAAAATTTTAATGATGGCCTCGCCCGATTTCGTCATGGTACAGGACCATTTAGCCTATTGTCGCAATACACTGTGTAGTAATGGAGAAAAGAAAAAAATAATTTACTCTCACCTAGAAGTCAGATAAACAAAATGTAATGTCGTACAGTGAAAAGTAATAAAAACATAATATGTGGTTTGATTTAGTCGTCAGACAATGGAGTTGTATCAACATGAAAACCACAGGATAAGTTTCAGCTGTCACATTCAATGATCAAGCTATGAGTAATCTAAAAATAGTTGGTCGGGTAAAAAATCCAGGGCTGGCCTCCATTTTTATCAATGTTTTGTATTTTAACAAGATAAAACTGATGTACGATATGAGTTCTGCGTAAAAAGAAAGTGACAATTAGTACGCAAATGCTTTGAATTTTACCCTCGAGCCCAAATCAAAATTATATCGGAAATGTAGAAAAAAAATATACATGTTCGTACTGATTTTAACATACATAATGCACATGTAGATACATCTCACAATAAACGGTCGAGTTAGGACCGGCATACTACTTTTCTGTAGATTTTTAACTTAATTTCAAGTTGGCTTGGAAGGTTAACTTCAGTGGTTTTGCATACTAAACGCAACTTCCATTTAAATCAGAGTCCATGTTTTTGCACATCAGTTGTTGGAACCAAATCATTGCAAAATTCTAGGAAAAGTGAACACAAATTGAGAGAAACAAGTTATTTGAATAAATGAAAATATTGAACCACAAATACAAAAGAGGAGCAGTAAGGCAATTCTATTAATTAATTTACTGTCTATTGGCTTTTTTGTACATAGTCAGACTTTCAATATTTAGCTGAAGATTTTGCTTTTGATTAAATACAAAAAATTAAAAACATGAAGTCCCGTTTTGTTTTTTTAACTTTACATACTACTGCCCAGTGTCGTAGGAAGTAAAATGATTTTTTTTTCATTTCCAAATACTATGTCCATTTTCTAACAAAACTATGTATATTGCGAACAAATTCCCGAGGTATGTAACTTTTTAACACGAAGCCTTATAAATATAGGATTATTTTCATTTAAAAATAGATCAAGCTTTATGCAGGATCGACAGAGAAACATGTTTGTTAGAGCGATAGCGCGAATGTACCATACACGAACCGGTTCTCCTGGTGTCAAGCACACTACTTTTGGTCTCACATACCTGTTTATCCCCCTCTATCACGTCATGTAAATAAGCACCTCAATGATTATCTGCTGATCTTGTATTTGTTTTCAATATGCACCTTTATGTCCTATACAGTATCGTTTTTATAAATTTCTTTTGAGCGGCAAAATTAATTCAAAACAGTATCTAGAGTTTCCTTAGAAGCCGGGATTGAATGGGTGTATAATGAATAAATACAAAATTTTTGCAAAATGCTTTGCCTTTCTCCAAAAATTGCACATTTTCTTTGCTTTGATTACACATACAGTAGTGGCCAAAATTATAGCGATAAATACATTTTTCCATGAAAATATTTAATGTTTTTAATTTTTTTTTTCAACATTATACTATAATTGTAATCTTTACAATACCTTTCATTCACCTTTACTTTTTGATACTTCCTCAAATAAATACAAAAGTTATGATCTATTTTTTGGAAACTAATTGGTCAAAATTATAGCAACATATTTTAGAAAAATATATTTATTTATTGTCCAAACTCGAGAGAAAATTATAACATAATAGTATTCATTTATATTTGGTGTAGTGCCATTTCGCAGTTATTATCGCTAGGCATATTTTTGGCATGGATAAAATAAGATTATTTATAATATATTGATTGATTGATACATTTATTGTTCACAATTTCCCAAAGATTTTCTATGGGACCTAGGTCTGGGGATTTTGATGTCCACTTCATAAAATTGATTTTCTCTTCCTGAAGAAAATTTTTTATCAGTTTCGAAGAATGTTTAGGGTCATTATCATGTTGAAATTGATATAACAACGGCCCTAGTATCCTCCGTATAGGGTAACATAACATTCTTCAATATATCCCTGTACTCAATTCGATCCATAATCACCTCGATTCTATGAAGTACACCTTCCCATACCCCGAAAAACAACCCCACACTAAAACTGAACCACCACCATGCTTCACTGTAGAAGTGTATCATCGAACCTTTTACCTTTAGGACATCGAACATATGCAGCACCATCACTTTTAAATAAGTTGTATTTCGAGTTGTAATTCGAGTCGGGCTCTCACGTTCTTTTTTAAGTTTTGCGTATGTAAATAAAACAACATGGTAGGTAGTTTTAAATGACTTAATTTTTTTTCGAAGTATTCTCCACGAAGATTAATACACATCTGCATGCGCTCGAACCAATTTTCGAAGCACTTACTCCATTCGTTTGGTGGCAGATCCAAAACGGCATTTTTGAATGCGTCAACTGCTTCTTCTGGTGACTGGAACCTTTGACCACGCAGTCTGTTTTTAATTTTCGGGAAAGTAACGAAATCGTTAGGACTTAGATCGGGACTATATGGAGGATGGTCCAATAATTCCACGTTTTCTTCTGTTAAATACTGCCTTGTTTTTTGGGCTGCGTGCGAGCTTGCATTGTCTTGGTGGAAGATGATTCTTCTTTCGGGGTTGATTTTTCGAAGCTCGGTGATGACTTTTGGCAAACAAGTGGTGGTATACCAATCCGCAGTAACAGTTCTTTGCTCATTAAGAGGAATTGTTGCAATATGACCCGCTTTTGGCACAAATGTCGCGACCATCTTTTTCGAAACACTTCGAGAACGGATGACTTTTTTTGGCTTTTCTTCACCTTGGAACACCCAAACTGCCGAGTGCCGTTTATTTTCTGGTTCATAACAGTAAATCCACGATTCATCACCACTAACAATGCTGTACACATTTTTTGAGTTTCCGGAATTGAAACGGTCAAGCGTTTTTTGACACCAATTAACCCTGGCTTCTTTCTGCTCTTCAGTTAACAGGTGGGGTATCCAACGAGAAACTAGTTTTATTACTCCTAATTCTTCATGTAAAATTTTTTGAATTCAGGTCTTTAAGATCTTCAAGGACGCCTCAATATCGTGATATGTCACTGTCTATCTGCAATGCGCACAGCATCGACGTTTTCCTGAGTGACTGCCGTTTTTTATGCACCCACCCTGGGATCGTCGCTAATACACACCCGTCCACGTTTGAATTCTTCATACCAACGGGAAATTGTCGACTGATGTGGCGCTTCGTTGTCGAAAACAGACAGTAACTCAGCAAGGCATTCTTGTTGCGATAATTGTTTCTGAAAGTTGTAATAAATTATGGCGCGAAAATGTTCTCGGTTGAGTTCCATTTTTCTAATGACTTGGTGACACATAAAAATTCACTGTAGTGAGAGCACTGCACGTATTGTTGTGAAACTTTGAATTTAAGTTTACTAAAGAGTGATGTTAAGATTCAGTACTGACGTTCGATCCGCGCGGCCTACTATGTTTCTATATGCAAAACTTAACAGACATCCCTCGTAGAAGAAACTTCTTCTCCGGTCTGCGGCCAAATAATTTTAGTTCACAAAGGCGTTGACTTATGGATCTTTCACTAAGGTTAGAACATCCAGCATCCTCCATAATCCCTTTAATTTTGGATGGCGACAAAAACGGATTCTTCTTAGATATCCGAGTCATCATGCTATCACTTCTTTTTGTTTTTTCGAATACGTCCAAATTATTTTTGGGTACTACTAGCCCTGTTCTATCTTTTCACTATACGTGATATCTGATTCCTGACTTATACTGATTTATTATTAGTTACCTTACAGATACTGTTTTACCACGGCTCATATTGTTATTTAAATACTTTAAGTACTACTAGGACATCACAATATAAACCTTTTCAAGAACGCACTTGGACGGAATGAAACGAAATGAATAAATGCGTTGCTATATTTATGGTCAGCAAAGTATTTGGCATATACATTCCAGTGTCAGCTAACAAACAAATAACCTTCTTATCTTTATTTAGAGGTACTATTTTGTTTGAATAGTGATTCTGAGTTTACACAGTGGCGTATTTTCACCAATAAAATATAAATATTATATGTTATTGTTGAATATTAGTAAAAATAAGATTTGTTGCGATAATTTGGCCACTGTATATTTTTGATTGAAAGATATTAAACAGTGGAGTTTGATATTTTTCCACCATTTCAGATGGTCCTATTGATGGCTCAAATGCAAAGAACACCAATGATTCCAGTACTTCATATTTAGATGTTGCTGTTCCTGTGTTAGTGCCAGATGTCAATGCAGAGCCAAGTACTGCCCATATGAGTACTGAGAGTTTTTTAATTGAAGGTAAGTACAGTGTTACAACATTATTGAAGCTGTTACACTCCACATCCAAAATGCTGTTGATACTGAAAAAATTAAAACTACTCACTATGATTTATATAAGTACTAAAAATATTCAGTCTGGTATCTCTTATATAAATGAAGACTTGAAGCTTGTCTCAAAATGGTTAGCATCTAACAGACTAAAATTAAATGCAAGTAAAACGAAAGCCTTGTTAATCGGAAAAAAACAATGTACAAATGTTCAACTGAATATTGATGGTGAAGATATTGAATTCGTAGAAAATTTTAAATACCTGGGAGTTTTTGTTGACTCTCGATTAATTTTTGATATTCATTATGAAACAGTTATAAATAAGATTAGTAGTAAAGTGGGATATTTATCGAGAGTTTCTGGATGTCTGAGTTCATATAGCAGAAAAATTATCTATAATACCATCATTCTTCCAAATTTCTTGTACTGTTCGACTATTCTATATTTAGCAAATAATTCCATTTTTGAAAGAGAATAATACTAAATAAAGATAAATATACTCCAATTAGGCAAATGCTTAGCAAATTAAAATGGCTCAATGTAAAAAATTTTATCAAATATCTTGTAATGATATCCATTTATAAAGTAAAAAATAATATATTTCCATCAAGTCTAACTAATTTAACATCATCAAATGTCGACCATCATTTACATAATACCAGAAATAAAGATGACTTCCATTTAATGACCAAAAAGTATAACATATGCTACAAATCTGTATTCCATCAAGGGTTGATTGAATATAATAAATTATACTCGGAGATAAAAGACCAGAAAACTTTGACAAAATTTAAAGTAAAATTGAGAAATCACTTGTTAAATCTACAATTATAGGTTGCCCAGCATTTACATCATACACCATATGGCTTGAATTTACTAGTTCTAAGTTGTTTACAATTGTTCGGTTTATGTAGCCAAATGTGCTAAATAAATCTTTCTACTACTACTACTGCGGATGGTGAAGTCGTAAGTCACGATCATATTCAATTTGCAATTTGGTTATAGTAACAGCAACCTCTCTATTTGAAATACTGAATTCATACCTATATTAGCAGACAATGATGAAGATGATAGGTTAATCGCATCTCAAGATTATGTCCCAGAAGAGTGTGAAATGGAAATGGACCTGGTTGCAGATACCCACGCCCAAAGTCTTGACGATGATGATGATGCTAGTTCAATATGGTCAACTGAAACTGTTGTGGTTGATCGGGGAAAAGTGCATAAACTTGATGATTGTGATGGTAATTGTAATTGTTTTTGTCCAATATGCATGGAATAGAACAAATATTTTGCTATGAAATTTTTGCATGCATGGCCTATAGATAGATGTGATGGAAACATTACGTCATTAATTACATAAAGATTGATAGTGTGGTATTAATACCAAGTGAACCAATTTACCTTTTTTACATTGTTTTAAATAAAAAATAGTAAGGATTTAAATATTGAAGTATGTTTTTCTACATTATTCAACAGATGTATTTTGAAATAAATGTGATCATATATAAATATATTTTACATTTGACTGATGAATGTTTCTATTATTTTCAAGCATTTTGTTGATTTAAGCAACATATCATTTTTACGAGTAGAGCTGTGTAGAGCACTTTGGTTTATTCTGGTTTGTTAGCTATGATTAGTAGTAATACCTAGTAGAGGTGGTGGAAAGATAACCTTGTTTTACACAAGCCACCTTTGGCAATTTTTGTAGCTGGTTGTGTTAAATCTATATGATTTATCAACGGACTGCATGATTTATATCAAACTGACCTTCCAACTTCATTATTTTGCTGTTGCATGTTTTCTATCAAACTGTAATTTATTTTATTTATGTAATACTAAATAGTAATATAGGTATTGATGAGGAGTTGGTCTAGAGATGTCTACAATGTTTATGTTCTTTAGTAGCTAAGTCATCGTTACAATCTCGGCTACGTTATCTACTATTCTTTTGCATTACTTGAGTGGAAATTACGTGTAAATCTAACCGTTTAGGAGATTAGTTTCGGAGAAAGAAAAGCAATATTCAAGGTAATGCAATACATATTTTTTATTCAACATTTCAATTCAATAATATTATAAATGTGAATGTCTCTTCAGTCTGTCTGTATCGCGTCTAAACCAAAATACGAAGATACGTAAAATTTGTGCGTTTACTAATTTATACCCGAAGAAGGTCATAGCATGGTTTTAGCTGCGAACCTATCGTCAAATTTGACTATATTTACAGGGTATCTACGTCATACACGAACAGCCCGAAAAGTTGACAACTACGCATTTTTTTGAAAAAAAGGTTCTAAGAAAGGTCTTAGTAGAAGGAAAGTAATTTATCGATGATCTCAGCTATGACCTCAAAATGATCTCTAAGCGAATTGACACGCTATCAGTAACTATGTTCAAAGTAAGTCTTCCAATAACTTTCTTTAATGTCACTGTCAATGTCCTATTTATATACCCTTATTAATTTTGGTCAGACCAGCGACTAAGTGCTTCCGCGTCAGACAGCTCATGACAAGTTCCATTAAGCCGTTTGGGTTGTAGCCCGTAAAATAGATCTTCCAAAGTTATTTTGCGAAATAAAAGATAGCCGATGTGCCAGATTATAATATATCCCTGTACCAAATTTCATCCAGATCCGTTCAGCCATCATCGTGATTGAGTTACATCCACACTTCGCCATTTATAATATTAACATGACATTACATCCTAAATTATGAATGTACTGAGTGACAAAAAAAGGTAAACACCTACGTATGTTTATTAGAATTCAATAATTTTTTACATATCGATTTATCTTGCCATGAACAACAAGTGATAAAATGGTCAGGTTTTTTTGTTAAGTTTTTGTGGTGGCTGCGTGTAGTGTTTGGTGATAAGGAAACATTCAGTTTCCGCACATTTACGGTATAGTTAGTTAAATAATGTTACGACCCAGAGGGACCACAGAGCGACAAGACCTGCCGGTTAAGACTTCTGAAAGATAGATTCAGTAGTACTGGAACCATCGCTAATCAGTGGCTTGAAGAGCATGGAAGGATGGTTGATATGCGTACTGAATACGACAGTTTGGCCTCTTTTCTTATCGCCCAGATTGGGTACTACCTTTCACAGCTGAACATCGGCGTAACCGTTTGCTCTGGTGTTGAGAAAGAATTCTGTGGGAACGGGAATGGAATCAGGTGGTCTTTAGTGACGAATTCCTCTTATGTCTGGGGATGCACGATGGTCGGGCAAGAGTGAGAAGGCGACGTGGTGAAAGACGAGACCCACAATTTGACCGAGAGCTTCACGTTCACCACACCGTGGGAGTTATGGTATGCGGTGATATTGCTTATGGTAGCAGATAACCATTAATTTTCATCAGAGGAAATATGACAGCCCAACGCTACATTCAGGAAGTAGTGGAGCCTCATCTTATTCCATACCTAAACACCATTCAAAACCCGATTTTTCAGCAAGACAATGCCAGACCGCATGTTGCCAGAGCATCGTTAGCCTTCATGGATCAACATCGAATCAACCGTTTGCCTCGGCCACCACGATCGCCTATTTCCAATTGAACATGTCTGGGACATGATAAGTCGCAGGCTATTGAATTTGCAACACCCTCCACAGACTTTAGCAGCTCTTACTCACGAAGTTGCAGTATCCTGGAGTGAGATACCGCAACAGGATTCAGACCACCTTATAAGCACGATGCCCAGGCGTGTCAATGAGTATATAAGAAATCGTGGATCCTCAACACATTATTGAACCAGCTTCTGCAGTCAGTTGACGAATAAAGCTGAAAATTTAATAATTGTACTAGTAAGGGACACTGAACATATATGCCAAAAATGATCAAAATCGGATAAACATTCGTAGCTGTTTACCTTTTTTTGTCACTCAGTATATAATAATTAAATTCTTCACTTCGTTAGGGGTTGAAAATGAGTGAAACATCGAATCAGGTTCTAATCTTGAGCTAAGTGCGACGATTTTGAGGTTATCTCGTGTTATATTTCACCTCACTTTAAACTGTGATAGCAATAGCATAAGACATTTAGTTCCCGCTGGATTACCCCTGCAGTTAGTTCTATACAGGGTGTTTCAGTTTATTGTTGCATAACTTGAAGATTCGATAGAACTTTTAAAATTAATGCATAAAGTCTATATAAACATGGGTCGAAAAATGCGTGGCTTCCGAAATACAGGGTGTTTAAATTTACTTTTTAAAATAGTTTTTTTTAAATATTTCGAACAATATTTGATGTACAACAGTGAAAATTGGTATACAAGGGTTTTTTGGTATGGCAAAACGAACCATGGGCATAGTTTTACTGTAGCCGCTAGAGGGCGCTCTCTACTGTACCTGTAGTTTATTAAAATGACCGAACATTTTTTCTTGGTGCAATTTTTTGCTTTTTGAATAAAAAAAATGATTCTTCGCACTTTTCTGCATAAAAAAGCTCTCCTGTGAGTTTTCGTTATAGTTAGCCGTTTTTGAGATATTTCGATTTTTAAGGTTCGATGCATTTTTACTTATTTATGGGAAAATAATATTTTTTTTTACATTTTAGATTTGGGCATTACAAGTAATTAAGATGGTCGTTTAGATTGTGTTTTTAAACACAGCAATAATTCCTAAGTCCAAATAAACACAAAAAAACAGAATATTAATTTGTTTAATTTTCCAATATTATTTTTAACAAATTAAATTAATTATTTACAACTAAAATGCTATTGGATAGTTAGGACAAACATACAAAATCTAAAGTAGTTGCTCGAAATGTAAACCCAATTGTTCAATACACAATTCACATCTATGAATGATCGAACGTGGTATAGCATTATTCAAATAAGGCCTTATTTCATCACATGCATTCCTGATTCTGTCTATTAGCATATCTCTTGTGGTTACGGGAGTCTGGTACACTTTTTCTTTTAGAAATCCTCACACAAAGAAATCTAATGGATTTAGGTCAGGGGATCGTGGAGGCCAGGCGACTGCTCCTCCACGGCCGATCCATCTTTCTGGATAATTTTCGTCCAGCCAGTTTCTAACTATTCTCGAATAATGAGCTGGACAACCATCAAGCTGGAACCAGGCCAATCTTCTTAAATCTAACATAACATCATCCCACATATTTGCTTGTTCAGCCAAGAAGGTCGCAGCATTTAACCTTGCAGGCAAAAGGTAGGGTCCAAATAGTCGATTACGGTAGATACCAATCCACACGTTCACACTAAATTCATGCTGAAAATTTCTTTCCCGAACTGCATGCGGATTTTCATGCGACCAAATATGTTGATTATGAAAATTTACCACTCCACGTCTAGTGAAGCATGACTCATCGGTCGATAAAACATTACTTAAAAACTCCCTATTATTATCAGTTCTATCAAGAATCCACTGACAAAATGTGATTCTTCGTTCTCCGTCCCTGGCTGTAGTCCTTGCACAGGTTGCAAATGGTAAGGACGTCTATGGTCATTTCTAAGAACACGGTGAAGATGGCTTGCTGAAATTCCCAAGGCACCAGAAACTCTCCTAACACTTGTGGTCGGATCTCTATCAAACTCACGCAGAATCATACGGGTAAATCTGCGCTGACGAACATTTATGTTTTGATCCCTTTGGAGATTTCCAAAACCATTTTCAATTATTTGGCGATGCACTCTTACAAATACTGAGCGAGTTGGATGTCGTCTGTTTGGAAATCTTCGTGCGTATTTCTCTGGCTGCTTCTGCTGCGTTTCCATTTACAAAGCCATACACAAAATGAATATCCGCTAACTCTTGATTGGAGAATAAAAATAGCATTTTTATAAAACTTACAAAAAAAAAACAGGTAAAAGAAACTAAATATCGTGCATTCTCCAGTGCAAAAAAACGTTTCAGGTTTCAAGAGACAACAAAACTAACTGTCAACTAATTGACGTTTAACCTTATTCTGCTGTCAATTTCAAAAATATTTGCAGGCACAGCCTACTTCTAAAAATTATCGAGATACTGACTTTTTAACGTTATTATTTATCATAAATAATTAAAAATGCATCGAACCTTAAAAATATCTCCAAAACGGCTAACTATAACAAAAATTCACAAGAGAGCTTTTTTATGTTGAAAAGTGCGAAGAATCAGTTTTTTATTCAAAAAGCAAAAAATTGCATTAAGAAAAAATTTTCGGTCATTTTAATACACTACAGGTACAGTAGAGAGCGCCCTCTAGCGGCTACAGTAAAACTATGCCCATGGTTC